AAAAGCAGAATGTGATCTTATTTTTGTTGGAAATTTTTCAAAAACACATTCAATATATTAATATATTCTTCTATCATGGAAAATGCACAGCAAACATCTCTGAGAAAGGCTGCTTACACACTATACTACGAATGGAAATACACAGCAAAGGAAGAAAGGAATAATGCCCTCCTCCCTATTCACTCAATCTCTCCCTCAATGAGCACCTTTTTACCTTGGACTTTGTGTATGCATATGTGTGTGGTACTGGGGATTGAACCAAGGGTTACCTATGTAAGGCAAGTGCTCTGCCACTTAGCTACCATCCTAGCCCTTGTTATTTTCGGACAGTTCCACTAAAACTGCACAAGCTGACTTGCAACTTGTGATCCACCTGCATCAGCCTCCTGAGTAGCCTGGAGTACAGGTGTGTGCCATGGTAACCAGTAACAATCATCTTTTCAAAACCAAAGCCAAACAGAAAGAATAAAAAAATTAAGATATAAGGAAGATATAAATTATATACATTGCAACATTAGCAAGTCTTGAAGCTGTTTCTACCACTGACAGAGGAAGCCATAGTATTTCACAGCTTACTCATTAACACAAACAAAAACAGAACCAAAACCAAGATACCACAAGGGGAAATGCTGGTCTCTTTCACACTTAGGTTCTCTTCTTAGTTGGACCCTATCCAGTAGGGACACAAATGTGGGTACAGGCCCTGCACCCTCCAGAGACTGGCCCTTCAGCCTGAGCTGGGAAGAGGATTCCTCTCTGACTGGGTCACTTGGAGCAGGCCTCATCTACACACCTTCCACCTCATCTGTGAAGGGATAACCCTGGTATCTGCCTCCCATGAACATAAAATGAGATCTTCAAAGAAAGTAGACACTTTCAAGTAAAGATTGTACCCCAAGGTCCTGCTATGCTGCTACATTACCCTTCTGGTCTCTGTGTACCCGTGAAAAGGAGCAGCTGAGCTATCCCTGCCATCTCTGGGCTTCTTCTGAAGATCAGATGGGAGAATTCTGTAGTCCTGTGATGGTCAGCCCTCTGCTGCTGTGACTAAACAACCTGACCAAACCAAGAAGGAAAGGCTCATTTTGGCTCAAGGCTTCAGAGGCCTAGTCCATGGTTAGCCAGCTCCACTGCCACGGACCTGTGGTCAAGCCAAAACACAGTGCACAGGCATGGCAGAAGGAGTGGATCACCTCACCGCAGCTAGAAAGCAGAGACAGGGTGAATGAGCCAGAGAGGAAGGGACCAAGAGCAGGTGGGGACCCCAAAGTCACAACTGATAACCATACTCTTCACTAAGTCCCATCTTGTGCGCCTCCATCACCTCCCAATATGTTACCGAACTATGATGACGGTAGATCCCTCCTGATCCAGTCATCTCTTAAAAACCTCATCTCTGAATAAGTGCGACTTTAAGGGGCACTTTGGACCTAACCCATATCAAGGCTGAAGTAAGAAAGCAGCTGCTGACCAGCAGGACACTGGCATCTCAGAGGGTGTGGAAGATTCCTACCAGGCTGGGGAAGAAAGTCCTAGGAGCTGTATTTATTTTTATCCCCAAAGAGAATCCAGGCTACCTGTGGGGTGGGGCAGAAAGACTACAGTCCATAATCCTACGCATTTGCTTGGCTGAGGCAGGGGACAAAAACTTTGGGCCTAGTGTGGGCAACTTAGCAAGACCTGGTCTCAGCATCGTTTAAAAAGGAGAGCATATAGGGTTGCAGGTCAGCAGTACAGTGCTTGCCTAGCATACATGAACCCCCGGGTTCAATTCTCACCACACATGCACATGTACAAAAGACAGAAAACTGTATTTCTCTGATGTTATATGACACACAGTACCTATATATAATTTTCATCTGCACGATGTGAAGTATTTCATATTTTGTCAGTTCATGCTAATTATACCACCATACAATGTCAACGGTTCTAAAACAAGCAGACACTCCCACTCACTCTCACCGCGTCCCTCGGCCGAGCAGGGGGTAGCTGCAGATGAATGGGGCACCCACACCCCCAGCTTACACCATCAGCATGTGCACACTGGACACAGACAGGCAGATTACAACTAAATGAAACCTCAGCAGGGACACAAAGCTTTCAAGAGTCCCATAAAAAGCAAAAGTTATTCTGATAAAGGCAAAACAAAACTGTAGCTGGCCAAGGGCATAGTTCATCTGAGTCAGTTTGTAGGAACCACATCCCAAAACTTTTGGATGCTGTCCAATCTGATGAGAAATGGGCCCAAAACACTCAATGAGAGAATATTAAAAGTAAAATTTGAGGGCTGGGGGTTTAGCTCAGCGGCATAAGCGCCTGCCTTGCAAGCAGGCAGTCGTGAGTTTGATCCCTGGTACCAATAAAAAGGAAAAAGAAAAACAAAAACAAAAGTAAAATTTTACCTTCAGAGCTGTTAAAAAGAACTCTGGATTTGAAGTTATATTACAAAGCTACAGTGACAAAAACAGCACAGTACTGGTAAAAAAATGGACCTGAGAATCAATGGAACAGAACAGAGGATGCAGAAAAAACCCAGGAACATTCAGTTATTTGACCTTTGCAAAAGAGACAAAAACACACACTGCAGCAAAGACAACCTCTCTAATAAATGGTGCAGAGAAATCAGCTAACTAAATGCCAAGCACAGAGTCCAAGCCCATAATGTTCATCATGTACCAAAGTCAAGACAGACAGAAGATCTAAATGCCAAAACAGAATCACAGAGCTGCTGGAAGATAGAGTAAAACTCTGGAAGTCACAGATACTGGCAAGGACTTTTTGAACAGAACCCAAATTCCCAAGAAATAATACTGAGAATTAACAAACGGGATCACATCAAATTAAAAGGCTTCTGAGTAGCAAGGGAAACAACCAACAGAGTGAAAAGAAAACCTACAGAAGGAGAAAAAAAGTATTGCCAGCTTCTTCTCAGAGGACGCAGTTCTAGAATGTATAAAGAACTCAAAAAATTAGACACCCCCAAATAAAAGACTCAATAAAAAAAAATGGGCAAGTGAAATGAACAGACACTTCTCAGAAGTAGTACAAATGGTCAATAAATACAAGAAAAAATGTTCAGCATCGTGGACCATTAGAGAAATACAAATTAAAACGAGATTCCATCTCACCCCAAAAGGAACAGCCACCATCAAAAAACCAGATAATAACAAACACTAGTGAGACTGTCCCGAAAATGGAATCCTTCTAAACTGCTGGAGGGAATGTAAACTAGCAGAATCACTATGGAGTTCACTGTGGGGATTTTTCAAAAAACTGAAGCTAGAAATTCCATTGGACCCAGCTACTCTCCTTTGTAGGTTTCTTCCTAAAATAAAAGACATCATAAAACAGTGATACATGACAAGCTATGTTTATAAGCAGCATAACTCGTAATAGCTAAATCTTGAAAGCTGCCTGGATGTCCACCAACAGGCGAATAGATGAAGAAAACACAGCATTTACATACAATGGAACACTACTCTGCCATAAGGAAGGATAAACTTGAAACATGCAGGAGAATGGATGGTAACTGAAATAATCAGGCACTCGAGATTAAAACATGTGACTTCTCTTACATGATAATCCCACATAAGAACAAAAATGTAAAAGAAGTAGGCATACAGAACTTTCTCAAAGGGGATCAAGAAGCGGAGGAGGAAAGGAAGAACAGAGGGACGGGATGAGAAGTCTGCAGACGTGCAATGCGCTTGTCAGCTCTCCCCCAGGACTGGAAACATCACGCACTGCACGCGCATACTAGGAAAAAAAGACGATGTGAGAACAGAAACAAAGAATGAATGAATCCAGATCTCAGTATGCTTTGGGCCTTGAGGATAACTAGCGCCGCACACATGCACATCCACGGCACATTATTTACCAGTAAGTCGCAGACACATGGAGAGATGATCAGAAACATTTGGAAGTCACAGAAAATTACAATATAAACTACTGTGATCCCACCAGTCTCTGCACACACATTTTCTTTCTACTAGGCTCTAAGAATTGGAAGTCCTCTTGATTAATCCTTAAAAGCTTTAAAGGAAAACCTGAGAAGTTGTATTTCTGGTTTTTCCTGTAAGTGTGAGAAATTAAAGAGTGATGCCCCAGACAGGCTCCAGGGTTTAGGAAACACTTCCTCTCTTCTAACCTACCCTCATTAGCAACATAGAAAGTCTAGAAAACGGCCACAGTCTCCAAGAATGAGTTGGGGGCAACAGAAATACCACACACACTTTTCTAAGCCAAGAGCGAGCCATTCCGTCTGCTTTATTGTAGGTGCTTAGGGAAAAAAAGGTCTTTTAAAATATATATATGGATGCCACTTACGTTAGGTTCTTAAAAAGCAATTGAATCTTTCCATAAAGCAATTTCTTTCAACGAGAAAAATGGTAACAATAATGTGGCAGTACCGTATTAATAATGCCGAGGCCCGAAGCGCCCCATTCTCCAGCCTCCTTGGCACTCTTGGGGCACAGAATCTGCTTCAGCGGGCCTGCTGTCCTGGGGTGAGGGCGATCCGCACCCACCCCGCGGCAGAGGCAGGAGGGTCTCCCAGGGCAGGGACAGTGGACCACTCAGGTCGTTGGAGTCTGACAGGGCCTCCGGGCTCCCCCTTGCTGCCCATTCAAAGAGGAAACATAGGCCTTTACTGCAGCCAGGATCCGAGAGCAACAGCACCCTCAGGGACCGGCTCCCCTTGGCTCTCATTTCTTTCCTGTTCATACAAAATCAATTTTTAAGGAGGACAACACATATTTTACAAGAAAACCTCTCTGCCTGGAGCGGGGGTTCCCGCCTGCAAAATCAGCCGTACGGGGGAGGCCGAGGGAGATGGCTCACAAGTGAGAGATCCTGCTCGGGACAAGTGGAGAGACCCTGTCTCACAGCCACAAGGTAAAACGGGCTGGGGCCGCGGCTCGGCGCAGACGTCCCGGCTCAGTCCCCCACCTCGGCTCCGGGACCTCTCCCGGCACCCCGAGAGACCCGGCTGCGGCCTCTACCTGCGCAGGCGGCTCATCGCGGACGGCGGCGCGGCTCGCGGGGGTCTGCACGCCACCCAGAAGCGGGGCCAGGACCGCACGCGCCACCCACGCGCCTCCCGGCCCGGGCCAAGCCCCAGAGCCGCGCGCCCCGCCCCGCCCGGCGCGCTCCGGACCGGCACCCGCGCCCTGGGCCCCGCCGTGGACAAAGGGAGGCCGGCCGGAGGCGGCCAGGGGGAGAGCGCCCATCCGGCGGCGCGGGTCCTGCCGACCGGAAGCGGCGCGGCGCAGGGCGGCGGGAGCGCGGGGGACCGAGCGGCCGCCCACGCGCGCCCCGACTTGAGCCGCGCCCCGCCCTCCACCGCGACCGCTCACGGCAGAGCAGCGAGGCGGCTCCGCGCAGCGAGGGCGCAGGCCCGCCCGCCCGGGGGTCGGGGCAGCCGCGAGGGCGCCCCGACCCTGCGCTGCGACTCCTTCCGGGCGGGCCGGCCGCGGCTGGGCCCAGCCCCCACCCCAGGCGACCCGCCCCGCGCGTCCCCTGACCCGGAGAGCGGCTCCTGGTGCACCGCGGCGTCTTAGCGGAGTTCACCGCCAGAGAAAGGAAGAGCTTTTGAGCGGGGCGAGGGATGGAACGGAAGGAGCCGAGCAGGCGCGGGCCAGGCCCGGGCCCTGCAGCGCGCACGGATCCGTCGGGCCGCACCGGGCTGGGCTGGGCTGGGCCGGGCCGGCCGAAGACTGCTCCGGAGACCCGGTCAAGCGTGGCGGCCCACGCCGGCGCTGCGCTGAACTCCGGCTATCTTCTGCCTGCTAGGCGGGCGGACCGCAGCCTTGGCCCGTCCGCTTCTAAGTGGGTCTCCACCAGGGCTTCCGGTACCCTAGCTGATTAGCCAGTGACAAAGACAGTGACTCGTGGGCACGTTACGGAGCAGATCTGTACATCTGGGTGCTAAGACGGCTGACTGACTCAGCTTTATCTCTACCGAGTGAGTCTTTCCAAGTATCATCAGATTTGCTTACAATTTTTAAGTGCATATATATGTGTTATGTGTATTTTGTATTATAAAATAAATGTATATATATTATTTTACACATGTGTAAGCACTGGCTGGACGTTCCGTATATAAAGGTCCGCTCTTTCCTCAGTTTGTCTCACCTAAAACTCTTGACTTGATCGGTTACTGGCCCTGACCTGTCCTTTGTGTGTTCTCACAGCAGGTGTTCACATGTTGCCTGTTCAGCATCCTTCACTTGCTTAGGGGATGTGATGCTCATACAGAAAATCAGGAAACTAGGCAGGACCCTTCAGAAACCTGCCACTCCCCACTCTCCAGAGGGCTGTGCTAGGACCATTATCAGGGCCCAGGGCATCTTCACAGCAAGTAGTTGACCTTGTGTAGTTTTGTGTGCTGCTCTGACACATTGTTATAACTTGAGTGTGTTTTAAAAAAAACAAAAAAACACTAACGTGCAGTTCTCTACGTTGGACTCGGCCCAGGACGCATCTGTGGGGGTGTGCACCTCTAGGCTCTAGGGAGACTTGTCCCCTGGCTGTTCCAGACCCTTGGCTTGCAGTGGTGTGGTCGCTGCACCCTAACTCTGTTCCTATTGCCAAGCCCATTTAATCCCGCAGGAAGCTTCCTGGCAGTGGCACTGGATCCGACCCTACAATCCAGGGCCCTCTGCCCACGAGGGTCTTTAACGTTCAGAGTCCCTTTTACCATAAAAGGAGACTCATAGCTTCCAGAGATGTGACTTGGGTGGGGGGATTACTCTGCCTACCGCAGACCCCTCACTTCAGAGGGGCCTGTTCCCAGGGCTTGCTATGAGTTCATTCTACCCCCTCCACCCCGCCCCCCCCCCCGCCCCTTTTTCTTAGTACCTAGACTGTAGGGCTGGTTCTGGGCCATCTCAAATCTTGTCTCTTCAGTTTTGCTTAAGTTCCAGCCCTAAAACTTGAAGCCCTAAATGTAAGACAGCACAGGGCAGCAGAGCTGCAACTGCAGCAGGGCTCCTGGTGGTATCAAGCAGAAGCAGGAGGAAAATGATTGGGCTGTTGTCAAAGTCTCACAAAACCAGTGGTGAGAACTAGTAAAATCAAGCTGATTGGGGGAACTGAACTCACAGGAAAGACAATGAGGATGGTGTGTGTGTCACACTGCTGCAGCTTTAGGGACTGGACCTCCAGCTGACCGCATGTCCTTGCAACACTTGCTGAAAATAGGAACTGTGTTTTCCTGTGGAAGGTGTGTGGTTGGCCAGCCCATTGCTGCAAGCCAGCAGAGAAACTATTTTCTGTAGTGGAGAGTGGCCACGAATGCTCACCGAGGTTTCTTCACCCATGGTACAGGTCCCCAAAGGAGATAAGGACGCCCATACTAAAGGGTCAGCCTGCCCTCGGAGCCCATTCATGTTTGGGCTGCAAGAAAAGAAACTTCCCAGGTGCTCAATCTGTTCACGCTTGGGCTGCAAGAAAAGAAACTTTCCAGAGCTGTTCCAACTGCAAAAATCAACCCTGCCCAGGAGGGTACCTGATGACACTCACTGCGCACACTTGGCTCACTGGCAGAGACACACCCTCCCACCAGAACAACCCTTACAAGCCCTTTCCCCAAGCCAAAGAGTGGCTGTCTTAGTCTGCAAGACAGTCCATCCTCCACCCAATAAAGCTTCTTTCTTGCAGCAGAAGGTCTGGTCTGGCTTTGCCTGGGTTCTAGTCTGTCACATACAAATGAAGATACAGGATGCCAACAGGCAAAAAACTAATGTCCTTCCAAATATCCTTTGATTCAGAGAGCCATGGAAGCATGAAGCAACCAAAAAGTGTAACTGTTTAAGGAAATCAATAAAGACCAGAAGGTAGATGGAGGACATCCTCTAAAAGCAGGATCTCAGCTACATACATGCATACCTGGAAATTTCCCAGTAGCTGCATTAAAAAACTAAAAAAGTGAGTATTTTTTTGGGTTACAGTGAACTAGCATTAATGAAGCATATTTTCAAGGATGAACTAAGTCTTTGACACTACCTCTTTTAGAGTTTCCAGCACACACACGTCAGCCTGGGCCAGCCACCTGTGTGCTCAGGGCTCTGACTACCTCCCTCGGGCAGGTGCTGGGACTGGCCGTTGTAGGAGGCCCTTCTGGACTTTGTTGGAGGTCCGGTTGTAATCCCAAGGAAAAGTTATCAGAATACCAACAAGTAAATTCCAATTAACCAGTGCAATCCGTAGTGAGAATAAAGAGACAAACATGTTATCTGTAGATGGGGGTGGCCGATGGCTAACCAGAACAAAGGCCTCACCCCGGGGCTGAACCTGGGTTTTATTCATTCATGAAGAGGAGAATGGCTTAGGGGTGAGTGACTGTGGGAGTGGCAAGAAGTATGTAAGTGCTGTGAGCTGGGCCTGTAGAAGGAGAGCTAGCACCTCTGCAATACGCAGAGAGAAATGTGTAGAAACAGTTATCTGCGTATCACCATTTGAGGAACTGTCTTGCATTTTGGGGTCAGTGCTTCAGGTTTGATGTGTAGTCTTCATGCCCTGAGATGTCACAGGCTCTTTCTTGAGGCTCAAACCCAAGAGCATCACTTGGCCTAGCTCAGGCATCACTGACCTGTCATACTGCTTCGAAGAGTATGCATCAGCCGCTGGCTAGACCCATCTGCCTTGATTGCTTAAAGTCAATTGAGAGGATAAAGAAATAGTCTAACCATCTCTGTACAGATTAATACACGGAGTCAGGGCTAGGTCTACCCAAAATGGAGACAGATGCTCTTTCTCAAAGAGAGCTGTCCTGGGGTTAGTCCGAGGCTGTCCCCAGCCCTCCTTTCTGCCAGAGACAAACACCCCTCCACAGCAGCATTTCTCCAGGAAAAGGCACTGTGTGACCTGAGAAGGGGTGGCTGCTCAAGTGTGAAGTATCCTATGCTAGACTCCGGGGTCCCAGCTGCTGCTTGGCAGGAGGGCCTGTGCTTCTTCCAGAAATCAGGTAGGAACAAAAATAGTGGGGGCCCAGGAGGGGGCACCATGTCCTCTGTCCACGGCTTTCACTTCCAGAGTTTAGACGTGGAGGGAAGGAAAGCAGACTTCTTCATTGGCAGTTGGGCCTTGTCTCGATGGTCAAGCTAAGGCTGTCTCCTCCTTTGTGTAGGAACTATGCGAGCTGAAGCCAACGCATCCAGCTCTGTGTGCCTTTCTGCATAACTAGCACCATCTCCCAGGAGAGCCAGCTCTAAGTAGGAAAAAAGGGAAATCAGAACTGGTTGTCTGCTATTTGCAGATAGCACACAGAACCCTGTCATCCTGTCTGCACTGGTCCATGAAGAAGACAAACTTTAATAATTTATCTAGCCAACTATCCAAAATATAATTTTGATATGTAATAACAATAAAATATTGATGAGACACTTTACATGCAACAAAGTATTGATTTTGATGTGGAATTTAGGACCAGATCAAATGGAGACACAGCACTAGGAGGACTTTAGAAGGCAGCTTTATTACGCCAGTGAGCTGATGGGAATCTCAGTTGCAAATCATCAGCCTTGACCTGAGTTTTCCAGTCATTTATATAGGTTTCCAAAAGGAAGTACAAAAGGCTGATAACATATCCTACAGTCGGTTACACATGTCTTTATCACTACCTGCTGGGCAGAATTCAGTTACAGAAACAGCAACTAAATAAGGTTGCTATCATGTAACATAGAGGAAGAATCCATCACTGTCTGAGACCTTGCAAGAAACATTCTCTGGGACTCTGCAGTAAGAGAAACATTCCTTCCTGGCTGAGCTACACTTATCTTGCAATTGGCACCCAGAGTGTGGAGGCTGTCAAGTTTGTAGCTTTCCAACCATGAGAACAGGCTGTGTCTTTTAGTTTTATCTCTGAACTATATTAGAAACATACTTAATATTGGACATATAAGTTTTAAAATTTTCTCTATATTAAAATAACCTCTACAATATAAGAATATATTGCTCCAGGCTGGGGATTTAGCTCAGCAGCATAAGCGCCTGCCTTGCAAGCAGGCAGTCGTGAGTTCGATCCCCGGTACCGATGAAAAGGAAAAAGACAAAAAAAAAAGAATATATTGCTCCAGTTCTTCTAATTAAAATTAAATTAATTTTAGAGACTCAGAAGGGAGAAGTGATGTTTAATAGGTGT